CTCCCAATACTCTGACATGAATAGAACAAGTATATCAATCGTATAAGGGTGTTTTTTTTCCTTCAACAATAAATTTTCCCATCTCATCTTTTATGCCTGTACCAAACTCTCATCAATTGAAAAGAAAAAGAAACTATGATTACAATAAATCAGGGATGAGAGAGAGGGGAGATGATTACTTATTTTTCGGTGATAAATGGCTCCAATTTCTAGATCTGATTCATGGTTAAGTGTAGCAAATATTTCAATTAATGTTACATCAACGTCGATTATCATCAAGTGTAGTTACCTCTTATTTGACAAATTACTGACGAGTATTTTTCTTCAGGAACCTATAGCGTAGTCGCTTGGTATCTAACACTTAAAGTTTGTATCTGTGTTCTCAAAAATATTTGTATTCTATTGCAGATCTCTAGCTTGACAACCTATACAGCTCAAAGTGGATTATTGTATACATCTATTTATAAATTGAATGGTATTCTTCAACCAATTTAACCTGATTGGTGAAATATTAATCATGATTAATCATTTATCTCCTATTGTAGTTGATTTTTTCAAAATCAGTGAATTTAATTATCCACATCAAGCTTTACACTTAAATATAGTTGGAGTATTAGACAAAAATAAAATGAAATATGTGTAATTCTTGGCACTATGTTGTGAAATATTGGATATAATATTGGCACTCATAATGTTTTGAGAACAAAATCATGTACAGAAATGAGCTTTTTAATTCATACATTTTACTGATTTCTCCATAGCCCTATTAAAGTTTGAAGAACTGCCTGTTTTGTATTTTAATTATTCAGAGATATCCAATGAAATGGAATTCTTTATCTAGTCACTTGCCAGAAGTCTATGCCAACTACCGGTACTACAAATATGAAAGTTCATATATTCAGTCTTTAACAAACTAGGGAGAAAAAAAAACTTGAATTGGGGCTCTTGCAGCAAGCATCGATCATTGTCTGGCAACGATGTTTGCTCCGAAAAACAGGAAGGCAAAGTTTGAGCATCAGAGGACTTTAAAGACTTTAATTTTTAAAGACTTCAAAGTAAAACAGCAACAAATACAGGGAGGCAAGAAGAGGGCAAACTTGCTGCAAAGTCTACAGAGAAATCCAGTTTTATCAAAGCAAATTTGCATTTTCGGCTGAAAGAAATGAAAAATGATAGATGACTGATGTGCATGTCAATGAAAACAAAAAGAGCAAGAGCAGTGCGGTCTGTGTGTTTCCCTACAGGTACGTGATTTCTCAAAGTTCAAACATTGTCGGAGAGGCAAGCGACTAAAAAAAGTCCCTCTCTTTCCGTATATGTTGTTTGTCGGAGTATATACATACACACCGGGCCCCCTCATAATAACAACAGAGAAATTTGGTATGCTGCGACTCCCCGAAAAACAGTGTTACAATCACGGGGGCTGACAAAGAGTGCAAACTATTATTCCTTTTGTTGGATTTTTGAATTCGCTTACTGTTGACATTCCTAGACCATGACCCTTGAAGTTTCCCCCCTTCTGTTGGTTTCTTCTCCCTAGCCCTTACCTTGCTCCCCTCTACTTCTCTCTCCTCTCAAACTCTTTTTTTTCCCCTTCTTATTTCTCTTTATATACTTGATCTGTCTCTCTGTCTCTCTCTCTCTCTGTTTCTGTCCCTGTATCTGTCTATATATCTGCCTGTTTCTGCCTGTTTCTCCCTCTATTTCTCTCTCCTCTCAAACTTTTTTTTTTTTCTCCCTCTCTTGCTATTCCTTTGTCCCCTTCTTTTCATTATTTCTCTGTATTACAGAGTGTGCCTCTCTGTGTGTGCCTCTCTCTCTCTCTCTCTCTTTCTGTCCCTGTATCTGTCTGCCTGCTTCCCTCCTTCTGTCTGTCTCTGTCTCTTTCAGTCTCCCTCCTTTCCTCTCTCCTCCTTCCCCCATCCCTCCCTCTCCCTCCTTCTCCCTCCATCTCTCCCCTTCCTCCCCCATCCTCCCCTCTCTCCATCTCTCCCACAGTCTCCTCCTTCATACTCACTCCTGCCTTCTACTTTTTTTGCTCTCTGGCTGTCTGTCTGTCTGTCCCCCCTTTCCAACCATGTGTCTCATTCTAAAAGCCCACCTGTCCTTCTGTCTAAGGTAGCGTAACCGGATTAAGCGTCCCTATCAGATCTATCAAGTTCTATCTGCAGATCGATGTTCAATGTCACCATCCAAAGGAAGTGATTCAGAATTGAACCATGGACCTACTACATTGAACCCTGTACAGGCAGACTCAACAAGTGACCACTAGACCAACTGTATGTCTGTCTGTCTGTCTATGTTCATTCTTCATTTTCATCTTGAGGCGTGATGGCTCAGTGGTATAGAGCAGTGTCTTGTAACAGGGAGGTCCTAGGTTCAAAACCAATTCCATGCACTAGTACCCTTTGGTAAGGCATTAATCCTCATTACCAAGTCCCTTGGAGAGATCTTAAAGCCGTCGGTCCCCTGGTTGCTTACTTACAAGCACATGCTTTCTTAGCACTCAAGTAAAACAAAAAACAATTCAGTTTAGAGAGCCTCTGTATACAGAGTTGGATTCCTTTTTTTCCCACTGACTTACAGGTAGGATGCTGATGTCATGGCACCAAAAAAAGAACTTCACAAAATTACTTTTCCCAATTTGAAAGCATGAATATGGACCTGTTTATCATGTTCCTTGTTTAAAGGACATTTGTCTGTAATCATGTTTCTTAATTGTTGTTTTCTTAATTGCAAAGTACCATTAAGAACAACAAAAACTAACTGTCCACTATAGGGATAAATATAGTATGTATGTGAGTTGCAGGATCCACTAATGCCACTGACAAAAACATGATTTTGCTCTGTGATTATTATAGCGATGACATCATAACATCACAGGATCATCCACGTAAGCTAATGTCCCAATCAGTATTGATTTCAGGTGCACATACATTTGTGTTTTTGTATGTCCCTTTGGGAGGTATTATATAGCCTCACCAAACATTCAAACCTCACATTCTCTTGACAAAGTTAGTTTAAATATTGAACCAAGTCTACAAACAAGGAGAGTGACAATGACAATGACCCCTAAAAACTCAAAAGCAAACACGGATCGTCTTTTGTGCCGAAACGTACCCCCTTTCTGTCGGATCTTGATGTCTCTACCTGCCCTATATCTCTAACGTCTATTGAATCCTTGGCAGGTTATTGCCAGTGCAATGTTGGATCTAGCCTACCTACTTTTTCTTTTCTGCTTTTCTTTCTTATATGACCGAAGGAAATCTTCCTTCCTGAATAAATGTTTGTGTAACTCTTGAGATGGAAGGGGAGACAGACGGGACCTGCCTACCGTCTGTCACATTCTAATGTCAAGTGTGCCAGACTAATGTAGTTAAGGGGATGGGTGTCTTTGCTTTAGAGTCTAAACAAAATCCTAGATTTAGCTCATGCTGCAATCACATTTACAAACCTTTAGGTCAGTCAGGATCCAATGACCTTTTACAAGCCGATCGCCTGTCTGATTATCAAGATAATTATGGTTGGAATTAGAAATTTCAAAACCGTTTGCCAAACAGTTTTGAACAGTGTTTTACTTTTTTGAAGCACTTCATGATCATTTTGAAGCGCAATTTTGTTTTGGGCTTCAATATTACACCATATCACAGACACTGATAACATGTAGGGCCATGCATCTCAGATTTGTAAAACTGGAAACATTGTTAAACAATGCCTTTAAGTCTCTGCTTTTCTCATCTATTTTTTTTTGGGGGGGGGGGGGGGTAGGTACAGGGTGAAGAAAGATTCATAAGATGAGATGATAAAAAGTTAAGAAATGCAACAGAGGGGATTGTGAGTAAAGAAAGAGAAATATGATGAGAGGGGTTTTACCCATTGGATAGCCCCTTGTAGAGTTTTAAAAAAATGTGTAATTCTGAATAGTGTGAAGTGTGAACTAGCCTCATGTTAACAACCTTAGGAAGTTTATGTAGCCTTGTGGGATCTTCAAATCTGACATTTACACCAGTCATTAAAATCACCTTTCCTGTCACTCAAACTCACACCTACTGACCTAGAGAAAGTGTATTTATCTCTCTCTTTCTCTCTCTCCTCTCTCTCCTCTCTTCTTTCTCCTCTTTTCTTCTTGTCTTTTCTGTTCTTTTTTTTTTTTACTTCATTATAGGTAAATCAAGGCCTGATCATAACAAAAAAAACAATCAAAAGTTTTTCCCAACTGTTTAATTCTAGAAATGCATGGTATTTGGGTGATTTATTAGTACCTAAAGCTAGACTTAATGTTATTGGATAATTACTGATTATCAATTTATCCCGAGATCAAGCTTGGAGATTATTCTATGGCCTCATGTTTTGCCCAGATCTAGCTGAAGATCACATATGTTGTGAGCCAGAAGGGCAATAATTTGTTTCATTTTACATAGAGTTAAAGCCCTTCTTGCCTTTAAAGAAGATGATATGAACCTTCATCACTCCCATGCATGTTGTATTTGTATATTTGGACTTGACAGGACTCAGAGGCTCACAAGACGATCCCCAAATCCCGGGGATTCGCGACATATTTCACCAACTTTACCTATCTACCTTACTAAACATGTATTTCCTCAAAAACGTCACAAAATTCTTGACGTCCCAATTTCTTCCTCCACCTCAGCAGTCTCAGAATGACGGGGGAGGATTGAGATTTGTGTTTCAACAATAAACACACATTGGAAAAAAAAACCACATGGATTTGTAAATCAAGTAAATATTGGAAAGCCTTGCCTGAACTTGGGGTGGTCAAATCCAATCGAGGCTCTGGGAAAATAAACTTGGCTCCATTTTCGGGGCAGGCTAATAGCCGAATGCTACTAGCTAGTGCCAACTTGAATGCCTGTCATCACTTAGAATTGGGGGTGGGGGGGGGGCAGCTAAAGAACTTGCAAAGGAGAATGGACTCGGAGGAGAGGGGAGGGGGGAGGGTAATAATCTAAAAATGTAACACGAAATATTTTGGTACTTACCAGAGGCTGAATTATTGAGACATCTCCAGAAGGAATTCTGAAATGACAAAAGAAAAAGAAAAAGAGTTTTCATTTCATTTCATTTATTCAACCAGTATAAAAACAATTTGTAAGTTATCATTATCTCATATACCCTGAGTGTTATCATTATTATTTTTGTTAATGATTTTCAATCTTGTATTTCAATTCTATGTTACATTTTTAATTATAAATAATAACATTGTGATGTCATAGTAAAATGCCTAGAAATTTAAAAATACATGAAATAATCAACAAAGAGATATCAGGAAGAATAAAGATAATTCACACAAAACAACTATGCCTCATCTTTCATTACAATCAAATAATACGGTAACTTGAGATATCAAAGATATAAAAGGCCAAATGTGTCATCTATTTGGGGGGGGGGGGGGGTAGTGTACATAGTATACAAAACAGGTAGAATATGATTCATACAGCCAAAGGAAATCTTATCTTTCTAATTCCCTATCATATGCACAGTGAATGCCTTTTGGACAGAGACATCTCCCACCCCCCCCCCCCCCGCCACCCCCCCCCCCCCCCCGCGCCCCCCCCCCCCCCCTCTCTCTCTCTCGCTCCTTCACCAGGAAAATCAAGTCAACCACGAATCCATGATTGGGGAAGATTATATCCAATAACCCAATCAGAAACATACCTCGATCAATTATCAACACATCCCATCCCAAATTTCCCTTTCATTTCCACCGAAGCCCCACTCCTTTCCACTGTTTTTCACCGGCATGTTTGCGTGAGTGAGTCGCCACACCAGGCCACGCATTATTGATGGATTGATTCAAGATCAATAGGGAACACGCCAGGGATGCGGGCCTGCATCGCTTGGATGCCGCGAGAAAGGTGTTGCCGGGTGTTAACGGGAGGACCAGCCGCAGAGCCCGGGATCGCGAGACAAAGGTGTTCGGGGAGACGCTTAGATTACGCCATCAAAAGGATTCCGGGCTCACGCTGGTGCGGAGGGAAGGAGAAGTGTCGAGGCAATTTAAACAAGTGTGTTAAGCCAATTATACTGCCTCCATCTTGGAATAGAAAGAGGAGGAGGAGGAGGAGGAGGGGTGGAGATTTGATTTGGGATGCGCGCCGCACTCACTCTGCCGCCCTCACGCTCGAGAGATCATTGTCTGAGAAAGCGCAAGGAAGAGAGAGCATCCACCTCGAAGGTGGGGAGGATAAATCAGCCTGAAACGATGCCGCCTCACGCCACGGGGCAGCGCTAATTTCCCCAAGCTCAGACGGGTTGCTACGGCGATCAGGCTAATTGGATTGGGAGACGATCATTCAAACCGCCAGCCTGGAATTAGACAAACTATCTGCCTACCATCAACAACAATTGGCACGAAATGCGAAAAACATCAATCTATTTCATTGCTCCACTCGACTTCCCCTCGCGTGATAAATGGGCTTTCCAAACCGAGCACAATAGGCTCCTAATGGGAACATGTTCATGGACACCAATGCACGTGTATTCAATATAGGTCAAACCAAGAGCGAAAAGATTTTACACATCTTTCTGCTTCTGATAATCTTTGTCGTCTGCTGGGCATTCTTCAAAGAGTCCCTAGATATCATACTGTGCTGGCTCTCACCCTCAACCACCCATCCATTATATCTAATTCATAGAGAAATTAAATCAAATTATTCCTGACTATCAACACCAATAGGATTTACTTCACAAAGGACTCAAGTATCTGGGAAAGCAAGTGGAATATATATCTGCCATACTTGTATTAGCACACCCAATATAAACAATCTGTTACAAAGAAAAAGTGAAACATTACAAAAAGAGGTCAACACCAGAAATGGACACTTCATAGCTACAATTTCATTAGAAGTACCCCTACATCTCTAGTACATAAACCTTTTTTCACTTGTTCCCCCCCCCCCCCAGCCTTATAAAATTGGATTTAATTAAAAACTTTAATCTTTTGAAAATGAGGTCAACACACGATGGACACTTCATATCTACAATTTCACTAGAACTATGCCTACTTCTCTAGTAGGTATGTACCTATTTCCTCCCCCCCCCCTGGCCTTTTAAAATGTAATTTAATTCAAAAATTGTCCTTGAATTTTGTAATACATAACACTTATACCAATACCTTTCTATAGAGCACTGGCAAAACTATTTCAATATTTGTGATTAACACTCATTCACAGCATTTTTACACCTTTCGATCATAACTTTTTTCACTGTGTTCTGTTTTTTTTTCATATGAAAAAGGGCATCTTCAGATAGTAAGCTCTCTTTATCAAAGTGCTTTGTATAAACCTTTCACCTTACGATATCTTCTATCTTTTTTTTGTATTGAATTTCATTAACCCTTAAAGGAGGCTTTCTAGTCACAGTCATAATCGAATCAATCTTAAACTTACTTATCCCTGATTGTATTTTCTTTACTCACTTCAGCCCACCTTTCCCCTCCCAGTCCCACCCAAATAAATAAAATATGTCACTCGCTCGAAGCAAAAAGTCAATCAAATTATACCTCAAGCAGATAACCCGCCCTCATCTTTCCTATTAAACAAAGCCATCATCCCCTTAGGAGGCAGAAAGACATTAAACTCATCTCCTTAAACACAGAGTTAACAACCTTCTGGCTCTTAAGCACCATAACTACAAGAGCAGGTCTCGATATCATTTCAATAAAATATAATCACTTTTCAGTGAATTCAATTATTCATTAGCAAAGCAATTTACAGACAACGCTCGACTGGACTGGACCAGCATTCACCTTTCCCGTCCCCCCACGAGAAATCAAATTTGTATATTTTCGAGTGCCATCGCTTTGGCTAATATTGGTGCGCGGCCTTTGTTTGTAAATTATTCACAACTTAATAAAGCAATTACTTCACCTTTTCATATGTCTCCTGGCATGAAAAGAGTAAACACAGAGTTCAAATAGAAAAAAGGATGACGATATATATCAGGGGCGTTTACACTGCAAGCACAAACATCGTGTTTTTTTCTTCACATTCCAAAGTTGTTCTGAATTCGCTAGGCAACTATCCGTAACACAACAAAAAAACCAACGTCTGGAGTGTGTCATTTTTGTAAAGGCAAATTAAAAAATACAGTAAGAATGTGCCACATTAGTCCTACAAATTTTCTTTGTCTTTTCTGAAACATTTCCTTGGTCATTCCTAATTGGTTTTGTTTCATTAAAAAAAAAATCATTGTTACTTTCATGAAAGGGGACTTTCTAAATTGTCAGAAGGAAACGGTAGGCCTACATTCAATTTCACAGCGGTTTCCAGGAACATAACATCTGGACAGAGCTTTATCTTCTAATATCTAGCATCTCATATATGTCTTTGATTCATGGACAAAATTTCATGTCAATCAGAATACATAATACAACCATAGCGCAGCCTTTAAAGTGGATCATAATCATTAGTTGGTGAAGATTTATGAAAGGTTGTCAGCAATCATGATGAGGTGGGGCAGGGCAGTCAGAGCAGGCAGAGCGGGCTAGTAAGTAGAGCATGACCAGATGATAAATGTGATGAGAGAGAGAGAGAGAGAGGAGAGGCATGTAGCTGGATAGAGGGAGATGGACATACAGAAAGAGAAGCAGGAGAAGCAGAAGAAGAAGAAAGAGCTAGAGAAAAGAGAGAGAGGAGAGGCACGAGATAGAAGAGAGAAGAGAGAGCGAGAGAGAGAGAGAGAGAAGAGAGAGAGAGAGAGAGAATGAATGAAAGTAGAGCATGACCAGATGATAAATGAGGGAGAGGAGGAGAGTGTGGTAGTGAAGGCTGGATAGAGAGAGAGAGAGAGAGAGAGATGGGACATACAGATGAAGCAGGAGAAGAAGAAGAAGAAGAAAGATAGAAAGAGAGAGAGAGTGAGAGAGAGCATGAGAAAGAAAGTAGAGCATGACTCTATGATAAATGTGATGAGAGAAGAGAAAGTAATGTACAAAGGGAAAGTGTAGGCTGGATAGAGAGAGAGAGAGAGAGAGAGAGAGAGAGAGAGAGAGAGAGAGAGAGAGAGAGATGGGACATACAGAAGGAGAACACAAATGATAAAGAAGAAAAAGAAGACGAAAAAGATGAGACAGAGAGAGAGAGTGAGAGAGAAAGAAAGTAGAGGCGTGACCAGATGATAAATATGATGAGGGAGGAGGAGAGTAATGTACAAAGAAAAAGTGTAGGCTGGATAGAGAGAAATAAATAAATAAGAGAGAGAGAGAGAAAGAGAGAGAGAGAGAGAGAGAGAAAGAGAGAGAGTGTGTAGAACATGACTGGATGAGATGATAAATGTGATGTGAGGGAGGCAAAAAAAATATATCTCTGGGACCCATTCAAAACCATGTGCCCTCTTCAATTTCATAATGAGTATTTTTTTTTTTTTTTTTTTAAGCAAGGAGAGAGAAAGAAAGAGGACACAGACAAAATAAAAATGGGAGACAGGGAATAAAGAAAATACAGGGAGAACATGAAAATGTGCAAATGATAGCGAACAAATGTATCCATGAGGGACTCTTATACAAACATGGAGAGGGGAGGAGCGGGGTTGGTTGGGGGTGGTAACCGAACAGGAGGTTTGGACAAAGATGTTCTCTAGATCTAGAGTGAAGAGAGAAAAAGAGTTGACAGCAAAACTATAAATGAGGCAGAATGGGCCCAGAAACAGATGTAGATATGGAGATGATAGATAATCTCATGCATGTATTGACTCAGTAAGCGACTGCAACCTGATTTCTTCAAAAAACAAGAGTGTTTGACAATAAATCTGTTTGTAGGAGTCAAATAGGATGCAAATTTCAGTATCCATTTATGGTGATAAGAGAAAAGACTTTTCGTTCAAACAGAGCGGCAAAGACTGATCGGAGTCAATACAAGAATTGAAATAAATGAAAGAGCATACAAATGTAAATCCAAGTAAAATTGATTCCTTGTTTTTTGCAGCCTTTACACTCCCTTTTTTTCAAGCCCACCTTCTTTTTCTTTCCTATGTTTTGTGAAGTGGGAGGGGGGGGGGTGATATATAATATTTTAGGA